ATCGCGCAGGCGCTGTATGCGTTCTGCACATGCGTGGAAGCGCCAACCTCGTCAAAACCGGGTAAGAAATGCGGGCGGGCGGGTGGATCCTTCAGTGTTCCCAGACCAACCGGTTCGCGGGGACCACCATGAACCGCCTGAAACCCACCCCTGGTCTGCACCATTTAGTTATTTAAAGATAGATTTTTTTTTTAACAAAGAGCAAAGGGGAAGAGAAAAAAAAACTATTTAAAAACATAAGTAAATATTGGATCTCTCATTTCTCTTCTGTTGCATTCTGACTGATATACAATAAGGTAATAAGTTTTAGGAATGTGTTGATTGGTTTCTTATTCTACATGCCCAGTCAAAGGATCTGGCTTTGATCCACCTGCATTTATGGAAAAAGCTCAGAGTGAGAGTAACAGCAAATCAGAATGTGGTAAACTCAGGCAAGTATATAATTAGCTGGAGAAGCATTGTGAAAATCTCTGATCCAAGAACAAGTGAGAAAAGAAAAAAAAATACATGCATTGCTACTTCTACAGCTGTAAAGGTTTCCTTGAAACAGTAAAAAAAAAAGATTGTCGCATTGTTTAATGATGCTAACAAGAGCCTGCGAAGATCTTTATGGCAAGCCATTTTCTTTGGCATTTCTGTGATCTCTGGTTAAATTTATGAAGCAATCTGAAAAAGGCTAAAGATTTCCAGCTTCCCCTTTGGGGGATTTGCTTAGTCCAGACCCACTGGATTTTAAAAAGCCAGATGTTGGAAAAAAGAGTGGTTAAATACTGGAACTGGGATCTGGTGTCTATTAGTGAAAAATTTGCAGTAAAAAGCCTTACCTGATGCTTTTTCTTTTCTTCTGGATACCTCAGCTTATTTAACAGTTCTAGTTGTAGGCAAATATTAAAAGGCATTTTAACTGAGTAGCCTGAATTAATTTTTTTCAGTAGTGATTAATTAGAAAGCTTGCAGTCAGGGCGTTAGTGGAAAAGCTCCCATTCCATCATTTGCTTCCAGATGATGGTCAGAACCCACTTTTAAAACCACTGCATAGCTGCCAGTGGTGCTTCGTACAAACAGCACTTTTGATATGGCAGCTATTCTACCTTTCTCTCCTGTAGGAAGTTATCACCAATGTTCCCTCTAATTTTTTTTCAGTGTGAGCGGAAAAGTATAGTGTTTGAGCGGCACATTTTCATG